TTCAGTTGTGCATCGACGAACCACAGTGCAGCTGGCTCCACTACTACACGGAACCCGGAGAGCAGGCTGACACAGATTGCTATCTGCACCCAGACCCGTCTCCAGGATCAGCAGACGTGATTGCCGACGCCACCAGAGGTAGGTATGTCGCTTTCTGCGGAACGCCGACGCCCAGTCCGACGCCCAGCCCGACGCCCAGTCCGACGCCCAGCCCGACGCCCAGCCCGACGCCGCCCGCGACGTCACCGGGTGCGGGTGGTGCGTTTGCCGTTGGCGATCCCCATTTGCAGAATGTTCATGGTGAGCGGTTCGACCTGATGCAGGAGGGCAGACATGTGCTGATAAATATTCCAGATGCTTACGCCATTCTGGGGACCCTCAGAAGAGGGATGAAGTCCACAGGTGAGACCTTTATGGGCTTCTTGGGGACCCTCTGGGGGCCTATGTTGGGCCTCTTGGGGGCCTCTTCGGGCCTCTTGGGAGTTTTTGGGCGCCTGCTGGCGGTCTTGGGGGTCCTCTTGTGGCGGAGGGCTCAGAATACCAGTTCCAGTTACCTCTCTTGGGCCCCTCTTAAGGCCCTCTGGCGCTCTCTTGGGCCATCTTGGGCGCCTCTTGGGCCGTCTTGTCTTGTGACCCTCTTCGGCCGTCTTAGGGCCCTCTCGGGGGCTTCTTGGCCGTCTCGGAGCGATCACGTGGGCCGTTTGAGCCGTCTTGGACGCTGGTTAGAACACAAATGCGAATAGGTTCAATGATGCATTTTCTTACAGGATCTGGACGAGTCTTGCTTCGTGGGGCCCTCTCGGGGGTCGTCTTGGAGCCCTTCTGGGATGTCTTCGAGGCCTCTTGGACAGTCTTGAGACTATCTTGGTCGTCTTCGAGGACTCCTGTGCGAGTTGGAAACCTGCTTGAGCAAGCGTAGATCGATTCTCAGGCACTGTGGAGGCCACAGAGTGTGGGAATGGAGGCGGCTCTGGAGGCCCCGGGGGAGCGTTGATGAGTTCGGAAGCCCACCCACTCTGCCCCCCCCCCCTTCAAATCGGATTTCAGATCCGAGGAGAGGGGGACAGGGGGAGGGGGAGAGCCAATCATCTCACACGCCTTTGTACCCCTGGCTAGCGGGGTCGGCGGATTCCTCGCGGGGAGCGCGCTGACCTCGCATTGCTCCACGTGGTGGCCGACGCGTATCGATTGGGTAAAGGCTGTGAGGAGATCTACTTCCAGAGATTGAACATTACAGGGTCGTGGGCGCTGGCCAGGCAGAGAGGAGGCTACACGTATGCTGCGGCAGACGCTGCCAGCGCGACCCCAGAATGGACAGCCTTCGGCCAGGTTAAGCTGAAAGTCGTTCATGGACGTTCTCAGAGTGGCGTTGTGTACTTGAACTTCTACGTCAAACACCTCGGCCAGGTAGGACGCCCTGTCGGGGGCCTCATGGGAGACGACGACCACACATACGAAGGGACGCCTCCAGAGACGTGCCTGCGGACGGTTCGTCTTCATTCCGGGAACGTTGGCGTTCATGCCCAGGAATCTTCCACGGCCTCGATAGCAGTTGCAACGCTCGCGTGAGCAGATGTTCTACCTATTCTTTTGTCTCTCCCCAAGCAGACCACCTCCACTATTGTTGGTCCCTGGCCGCGGGGCAGCATTTGCTCAGATAGGCGAAGCGACTGCGACGCCGTAGATCAGTGGGCGATCACTTGCTACAAGCAAAGAAATGGCAACCAAGTCGATGCGACATCTATCCCAAGGCAGTGCCAGGATAGGTGTTCTGTTGAGAACACGCTCAGCATTGGGGTTACGGTTATGGCGCTGCGCGCAGCGCGAAGCATCGGGCGCAGGACCAGGAGGAATCTTGGCAGGAAGCGTTGGGACGGCCGCGGCGCCCGATACATGTTCCAGAACCGCCAGATCTCAAAGATCCCCGATGTATCCCGGTCCGAGTTTGTCCCTGTCTTGGCTTCGTCTTAAAGTGCCTCACGGGTGACTTCGGTTGCGTCCCTGTGTCTGGTGTCTCCAGGCCTCCTAGATGGGGTCGGAGTAGGTCGGGTCGGAGGATCGCGCCGCGTCGCCCACGCATTGGCGATGGCCCAGGCCTTGGCCCAGCCAGCATTGGTGCAGCCTGGCTAGTTGACGCTCCCTCCACAGAGTCCCTCGGGGGGGGCGAGGGGATAGCGGGGGAGGGGGGAGGGGGGGCGGGCGCGAGGCCGACGGGGGCCGCCGAGAAAGAGCGAGGACGCCACGAGAGGTCGGCCGCGCCACTCGTCGCGGCGCTGGCGGAGACCGGGGCGCGGTCGGAGCAGTGAGCACGAAAGCCACCCTGCCCAGTCGGGGTGCACGGGCACAGGCTCGGCGGTGCCGAGGCAAGCCGAACCTCTCGACGTTGGAGCACTGCCGTCCGCCACCTCGTCCCCGGCGGGGTCCCTCGTGCTCTTGCTTCGGCGAGCAGCGCGCCGTGGCTCTGGCAGGGTCGGTGCCGTGCCGTCGCGGCGGCGGCGGC